GTATACAGAACTGAACTCTGCCTGTGAAGTGGACATTGGTGAATTTTATAGAACTGTCAGGAAACAGAGGAAGACTAATGTAACATGTACATCTCTACAGTATAAAGACAAGACGGCCAGCACACCCGAGGACATCTGCAATATGTGGACTGATTACTACGGAGATCTGCTGTCTCCTCTCGGTAGGCCTGAGTTTGAAACGGACTTTTATGAGGAAACAAAATCAAAGGTTTGTGATATAGCAAACAGTAACATATCTGAGAACGATCCAATCCTGGCGACAAGTATTACATCTAATAAAGTGAAATCAACCATTAAGAGGCTGAAAAAGAATAAGTCTCCTGGACCAGACTGTATTACTGTAGAACACCTCTGTAATGCTGACAATCTTCTGTTTAAACATCTGGCACACCTCTACAATATGATGATCAGTACTTGTTACACGCCTGTCATGATGAGAACTGGAACTATTATTCCCATCTACAAAGGGAATAATAAAGATAAATGCAACCCAGCTAATTATCGCGGTATCACTCTAACATCCGTGATTGGGAAGGTATTTGAGAGGCTGTTGCTAGACAGACTGGAGTCCTACATCTATTAATCCTGATTTCCAACATCGTCTCCAGTGCGGCTTCCGGAAGGAGCATGGCGCCAGTGTTGCTACATATGTGTTAAAAGAGGCTATTTCCTATTATCAAGATAGACACTCAAATATATATGTTGCCTTTCTGGATAGGCCTTCGACAGGATATGGCATGAGGGGCTGCTACTGAAACTATACAATCTTGGTGTGAAAGGCCGTGCATGGCACATTATCCGTCAATCTTACCAAGAAGCAAGTGCTTGTGTTAAATACAATGGGAGCACAGGTGATTTGTTCAATGTTCAACAAGGAGTAGGACAAGGTCGTGTGCTCTCAGCATGGATGTTTCTAGTCTACATCAATGACCTGATATCTCTGCTTGATAATCTACAATGTGGACTAATTGTTGGTAAGGAGCACATCCCAACGGTAGTACTGGCTGATGACACTACTGTTGTGAGTACGAGTGTACATGGACTGAATATGTCTCTTGATACTATCCACCAGTATGCTCGGCGCTGGAGACTGACATATAACGCCAATAAGAGCTGTGTCTTGTCTTTTTGCAATAACAGAAGACATTGTAATAGACCTGTGTTCAGAATTGGAGATGTGACAATGAAGATCCAAAGCAGTACGATTTATGCCGGCTCTCTGATACACACGGAAAAAGCAAGTGAACGAACTACTAGGGCTTGTGCTAAGGCGCGACAGACAATCAACTCCTTAAGAAATGTTGGTCTTAGAGCTGGAGGATTGAGCCCAGTATCTTCATCGAATATCTGGCAACGAGTGATCTTCCCCACTGCCTTCTATGCATGTGAGCTCTGGCCTAATATCAACAACCGTGAGATCAGTGAGATGGAAACCCTACAGCGCTACTTTGCGCGACGAGTCCAAAACCTTCACAGGAGATCCTCTACAGCTGCTACAACCCAGGTTCTAGGATTGTGGTCAATGCTGGGCAAGGTGGAGAAAATGAAGCTTCTCTTTCTGGGACGACTCTGTAGAGCAGCAGGCACAACCATTATGAAACCGATTTTCTATCTCAGACTATCCCAGTATGTCACCACGATCTCACACAGTGCCAGATCCATAACACATGATCTACTGAATGTGGCTCAAAAGTATGGATTCTCAGGCGTCTTAGATAAACTAATCAACTCTGGGGAATTTCCATCTAAGAGTGTATGGAAGAGCTTGGTACAACGAGCTATTAGTGAGTCTGAAAATATGAATTGGAGAAATACTTTGCAACAACGTCCAGACATGCATATGTTTAGTGCTATCCACACCCGCCTTGCCCTACATCGTCTCTGGTCTCTTTGTGTATGGTATGATATTGCTCCCCCCCCTGTATATGCTCTTGTAAAGCTCGGCATATTACCTGTAACGTCTGGACTGTGTCTTATCTGTAATTGTGAATGTGATGACATTGTTAAGCACCAATTGCTTTACTGTGATGGCCTAATGAAACAGAGAAATGTGATTAGTGAGTCTCTATTTGACAATGTTAGCCTTGAAACATATCTCAGACTTGAGGACACGTCTAGTGATGCCGTCAAGATTCTGACATACCTCGGTGCTATTACAGATGTGGTCCAAGACATGACACTTGACAGCTGGGCAACATTCATGAGTATCGTGGCTAAACATGTCAGCTCATGGAACTTAACATCCATATTGTATTTGTGAAGCTATGTCACACATCATGTAAATATAGTTTCACGCATCACTTCATTACTGCTTACCCAGCCCAATCTGTTGTACTTACATGTATTTTGTCATTGCCGTTGTCAAATAATGTAATGTAATTGTATGTACTACTCTCCAAATCATTGGGGGAAATAAAGAGTATTCATTCATTCATTCATACATACATACATACATACATACATACATACATACATACATACATACATACATACATACATACATACATACATACATACATACATACATACATACATACATACATACATACATACATACATACATACATACATACATACATACGAAGACACACTCTTACATACATGTACACACACAGACAAATACACACAGACGCACCTATACATGCATGTACACACACAGAGAGACACACACACACTCATTCATACATACACAGACACACACAGACACACACACTCATATAACACACAGACACACACACAGCCACACACACTCATACATACATGTACACACACAGACACACACACTCATACATACATGTACACACAAAGACACACATCCTCATACACACACACAGACACACATACACCCACACAGACACACAGACACACACACACACGCATACAAGCATGCCTATATACATACATACATACATACATACATACATACATACATACATACATACATACATACATACACACACACACACACGCATACAAGCATGCATATATACATACATACATACATACATACATACATACATACATACATACATACATACATACATACATACATACACACGACCACACACTCTTACATACATGTACAGACACAGACAAATACACACAGACGCACCTATACAGGCATGTACACACACAGAGAGACACACACACACTCACTCATTCATACATACACAGACACACACACACTCATACATACACACACACAAACACGCATACATACATACATACATACATACATACATACATACATACATACATACATACATACATACACACACACACACTCATACATACATACACACGAAGACACACTCTTACATACATGTACACACACAGACAAATACACACAGACGCACCTATATATGCATGTACACACAAAGAGAGAGACACACACACTCATTCATACATACACAGACACACACAGACACACACACTCATACATCAGACACACACACTCATACATACACACAGACACACACACAGACACACACACTCATACATACATGTACACACACAGACACACAGAGACTAACACACTCATACATACATGTACACACACAGACACACACACTCATACATACACACAGACACACACACAGACACACACACTCATGCATACATGTACACACACAGGCACACACACTCATACATACATGTACACACAAAGACACACATCCTCATACACACACACACTCATACATACATGTACACACAAAGACACACACACACTCATACATACATGTACACACAAAGACACACACACTCATACATACATGTACACACACAGACACACACACTCATGCATACATGTACACACAAAGACACACACACTCATACATACATGTACACACACAGACACACACTCATGCATACATGTACACACAGAGACACACACACTCATACATACATGTACACACACAGACACACACACTCATGCATACATGTACACACAAAGACACACACACTCATACATACATGTACACACACAGACACACACACTCATGCATACATGTACACACAAAGACACACACACTCATACATACAAGTTCACACACAGACATACACTCTTATGCATACATGTACACACACAGACACACACACACACTCATACATACATGTACACACACAGACACAAACTCATACATACATGTACACACACAGACACACACACTCATACATACATATACACACAGACACACACTCATACATACATGTACACACACAGACACACACACTCATACATACATGTACACACACACACACACTCATACATACATGTACACACACACACATACTCATACATGCATGTACACACAGACAAATACAGACACACTCATACATACATGTACACACAAAGACACACACAGACACACACACACACTCATTCATACGTACACATACAGACAATTACACACAAAGGCACACTCATTCATACACACACAGAGACACTCATACATACAACACACACACAACACACAAACACACACACAGACACTCTCACACACAAACACACTCAAACACACAGACACACTAATACATACATACACACACAGACACACGCACACCCAAAACACACACATGCACTCTCAGGCACACACATACACTCTCTCACACACAGACACACACAGACACACACATCTACGCACGCCACTATATAAATGCGATAATCTTGAACGCGTCCTTCAGCCCCAAGTCAACTCACCATATCGTGTGGGTGTGTTATAGTCTGATGTCTTATAATGTTCTATCACAGGGTGTAACACAAATATGTGAAGTGTTACTGGCTATTGAAGTGTGCTTTGTCGTCATATCTGTAGACAGAGTACAGACAGATTGGAGGGACGATCATCATTTTGTTTGCTCTGACAAGTACTGTCACTCACTCACTCACTCACTCACTCACTCACTCACTCACTCACTCACCGACTCACAAGCACACCACGCCCTCATGAACAAGCATTTAATAACAAACACATGACTATGTAACTTTTAGTTTATTAAAACAGAATAAAATAATGTGTATATAGACATGTAGATAGGCCAATCGGTTAGTCATTGCAGTCATAGATAAACTACTTGTGTGTGCAGATATGTTGCCGCTGTCTTTGTGGCTGTTAATGGTTGTCATTGAACACAAGTATACATTTTCCAGGTGACATATCTCAGCCGTAAACTACCATTAACAGGAGCATTTAGAATGCACCATAAAATAAATGACAATACGAGGACGACTTACAAGTGATTTGTAGCAGATACATTGTAAACCATTATTTTATAATGAAGCTGATTGTGACGAGGAAGGACGACACGATCTCTCATCAAAAGAAAACAAAATGGGTACCCCGTTGTGCTTACATAGATATTTGTTGTAGAAATATCACAACCGTGCAAGATAGGCGTCAGGATAAGAGTGCAGTTGTACTCAATTGATGAAGCAGCATAATCGTACCGAACCCTTGCGTCTGACAACTATGATATGATTTCTGTACTGGAATATACTGGTATGTCATTTACTTTCTTTCAACAAACTTGATTCCCTTGCGCTCAAGTCTTTGCAGCATGGGCTTGTAGATCTCTGGCGAGACAGGCATGACGACACCTTTCTCAGTTATCTCCCCTGAAACAGTGAGAGGAAGGGGTTCACGATGTAGATCATATATATATATATATATATATATATATATATATATATATATATATATATATATAAAGGTACATTAAGGTACATTTCTGTATGGAAGAATCAAATATGGGTCAATCGTGTTTTCTTGTTTACACAATGTGACAAGATCAAAACGAATGTGAAGGTTTTGTCCAAAAGTGCTACTACATTTCGTCAGTATCCATAATGTTTTGTGCCGCATCTGCCTGCCTACCATTCAGCACCATCATTGCTGCAGTGGCTGCGCTTCGACCCACAATTTTGGAAATGGCCGTGTGTCTTCCCGGATCCCCAAGCACGGTGAGATCCAGCCTCCTGGTCTCGGTGGACCCATCCTTGAAGCGCCCGGCCACCTTGACGTTCATCAGGGCCATGTCTTGCTCGGTCGGACCTGAAACACGCATGAACAGAACCCCTTACCGAACTGACGTCACAAACCCAAAAGCTAACATTCCGAATTAAGACACACCAACAACAGGCGATGCACCAGTGTTACAGATCAAGTCCCCGTGCGGCGTGTTATTCTGTTCGATGTTTTAGAGCCAAGCCAACCGCATCAAGTATCAGATTGACAATATGTCAATAAACCCTGTCAATACCTCAGTGTAAATGTAAAACCTTTCTGTCAATGTAAAACCTCAGTGTGACTGTAAAACCTCAGTGTGAATGTAAAACGGCTGAGTGAATGTAAAACCTCAGTGTTCATGTAAAACTTCTCTGTGAATGTAAAACGGATGTGTGAATGTAAAACGTCTATGTGAATGTAAAACCTCAACTTGCCGCGAACATTTTCAATGCAAGAACTCACCAAATTTGAAGTCAGGTCGTTTATCAACGTGACAGACCAAGGTATCAAATATGGTCTCTCTCTTTTCGATTTCTGCAGATCCCAGCAAACCAAGGCTACAAGAGAGATAGTTTGAAGTGATATATAGGATGCCTAGACAGATCAGTAACTGATAGCATGAGGATCGATCCACCCAACTGGTATATGGTGATATCCATTAAAGACTAACCGATTCCTTAAGTCTTACGACAAGCATAGGTTGCAAAGAACATTATATTCTTACCCGCAACCCCAGAGGCCTTGATTCATAACGACCCACAATAACATATGATTCATAACGATCTTCAAATCAAATATAATTCCTAACGACCTCCAAATCAAATGGTTTATAATGGCCTTCAAATCCAATATGATTCATAAAGGGCTCCAAATCCAATATAATTCATAAAGACCTTCAAATCAAATGAATAAAATTACTTTCAAATCAGATGATATGAAACGACCTTCAAATCAAATTATTCGAAATGACCTTCAAATCAAATGATACAAAACGACCTTCAATTCAAATGATAGAGGCACAACCTTCAAATCAAATAATTCAAAACGACCTTCAAATCAAATGATACGAAACTACCTTCAAATCAAATGATTTGAAACGACCTTCAAATCAAATGATACTAAACGATCTTCAAATCAATTTATACAAAACAACCTTCAAATCACATGATTCAAAACGACCTTCAAATCAAATGATACAAAACGACCTTCAAATCAATTGATACAAAACAACCTTCAAATCAAGTGATTCAAAACGACCTTCAAATCACATGATTCAAAACGACCTTCAAATCAATCATGAAGCCGCTACGTGCAGACACACCTTCTCATGACCTCTACTTGACCTGATTCTCCTATTCTGTCCTTGACCTTTGCCTCCAGGACTTCATCTGTGACGTCATCATTCAGTCCAAGCTCGGAACACATGTACTTTCTCTGTGTTATGCAAAATATGTGTTATGCACGAATCCTGAGCAATAATAAAGATAACTAGTTTACAGTAATTCAAACAACTCTCTTATCTACGCGTAATGTTATCTTGTTATCTAGTGTCTTGTTACCTTGTTATCTAGTGTCTTGTTATCTTGTTATCTAGTGTCTTGTTATCTACGTGTAATGTTATCTTGTTATCTAGTGTCTTGTTATCTACGTGTAATGATTGCATTCATATAAAGTGATAATTTTCTCGATACATAGGAATCAGTGGCAATACACTTCTCCAGCTTCAGGATTACCCCTCATCTCGGAGCAAGTATCCTATGCACTTCGCAACATGTATTGAATACAATCTAGTGTCTACAAGAAGGTCCAAACATTGCAATGATCCATACCCTTCTTTCATTTCAGTGAAGTAACCGTACGAAAATCTGCACCGCAAGTGATGAAATGTGTATGGACTGTTTTGCGAGTAAAACATAGATTTACGTGTGTAAGTAAAAGCGACACAAATACTTCAATAATCACAAAAACATCTCTGCTAAAAGAAAAACCCACTGCACCCTTTCAACTATTCATGTGTTTATGAATCACTTTCAAATATGTTCGGAAAAAGAAAAAACGTATCCTGCCCCCGGTTGGTAAATGCCACAAACACATGCAAAGGCAAGTAAAGGGTTCACCTGAAACTAATGCATGTGCTTGTGTGTCATTTGTATTTACTTTCCATTTGTTTTTGTACTGTACAAACGCGCATTTTGGCCTTTCGCATAAATTGCTCTGCTAATGAGAATAATTAATTGAAGCGACAAAACCCTTTCCATATCCAGTAGAAATCTCTGTATAAAGCAGAGTCAATTGTACGATTCCGACTATATCATGAGCACGTGTTTAAGAATCAATATCAAATAGTGATGATACCAGGTGTTCGCGAACAGGTGAGTGCATCCTGCCCCACCGGTGGCACCGTCACAAACACATGCAAAGGCAAGTCAATTGTTCATCTGAAACAACATGGGAACACATGCAACAAGTCAAATTAGGGAATTGCATCGGACATAAGTTTTGTCACTGATGCGTCAAATTTGGAAATGTCCTCCCCATGTCTACTACCATAAAACCTTTTGAAGGCTTTACTGAGGCCTTGAATGATGTAACGTTGATCAAACAACTTCTGATCAAGAGTCATATGACGCTCTTTTAAATCTTGGGAGAAAGAGCATGCTCAAAAGTTCAAAAAGTTGAAATGTAAACACCAAAGGCTGGATCTGCTGGAATATTGCTCGACATGAAGGGAAAGTTTGCAATTGGAAAGGTGAATCATCCCTCTTATCATTCGGTCCTTTTGAGAGTGTTTTGTCACTCTGAATCTTTATGCTAAATCATATGCTACAATATGATGCAAGTACATCCATGACTGGCGAGCTGTTATTGTCGTTGGCTACATACCCATGTGAAGGGTTGAGATTCATCAACAAGCATCTGGTGAGTGGAGACGTTGTACAGCCCAAGTCTCATCAAGCTCAGGATCCCAGCACAGAAGCCCTGGGCAGGAAGCAAACAACGGGATCAGTGTTAAAGCAATAGTATGTTCATATTTCTGCGAGTGTACAAGGAGATTGTGTGTAGATTGTACACGGTTCTTTCGCTAACGGGACGGTTGGGTAGCCTCGGGCTTAAAGCGTTCGCACGTCATGCCGACGGCCCGGGTTCGATTCCTCACAATGTGTGAAGCATATTTCTAGTGTACCCCGCCGTCTTACTGGTAAACTATTACTAAAGGCGGCGTAAAAGCATACTCACTCGCACTTTTCTTTACAGATTCAGGAAAAGAAAAACGATATTATTATGCATTTATTCCTGGGTCTGTGAAATCATAGTTATGTATTTGTTTTTAATCTGAATGCTCACTGTACTCACCGATAGTGACTTTATTATGCATATGCCATACTATTTGTACCAAATGGAAAAAGGATATGTCCTTACATATACAGTAAACTACGATTATAACAAAGACGCTTATTAATAACTTACCTATATATCGAACTTACATTTTAGTCCCTAACATTTGTTGTATAAATACTGTACATATGCTTATAACGAACTACGCTTATGACGAACTAAAATTAGTGGTCTCTTCGAGTTCGATATAACCGGAGTTTTCTGTACAATATTCCAACTTAATCATTTGTTCGCCTGGATGGATATACATACCTCGTATCTCATGGAGCCCACTCTAGATGGAGGTACATACCTTGTATCTCATGGAGCCCACTCTAGATGGAGGTACATACCTTGTATCTCATGGAGCCCACTCTAGATGGAGGTACATACCTTGTATCTCATGGAGCCCACTCAGGATGGAGGTACATACCTTGTATCTCATGGAGCCCACTCTAGATGGAGGTACATACCTTGTATCTCATGGAGCCCACTCTAGATGGAGGTACATACCTTGTGTCTCATGGAGCCCACTCTAGATGGAGGTACATACCTTGTATCTCATGGAGCCCACTCTAGATGGAGGTACATACCTTGTATCTCATGGAGCCCACTCTAGATGGAGGTACATACCTTGTATCTCATGGAGCCCACTCAGGATGGAGGTACATACCTTGTATCTCATGGAGCCCACTCAGGATGGAGGTACATACCTTGTATCTCATGGAGCCCACTCTGGATGGAGGTACATACCTGGTATCTCATGGAGCCCACTCAGGATGGAGGTACATACCTTGTATCTCATGGAGCCCACTCAGGATGGAGGTACATACCTTGTATCTCATGGAGCCCACTCAGGATGGAGGTACATACCTTGTATCTCATGGAGCCCACTCAGGATGGAGGTACATACCTTGTGTCTCATGGAGTCCACTCTGGATGGAGGTACATACCTTGTGTCTCATGGAGCCCACTCTGGATGGTGGTACATACATTGTATCTCATGGAGCCCACTCAGGATGGAGGTACATACCTTGTGTCTCATGGAGCCCACTCTGGATGGAGGTACATACCTTGTATCTCATGGATCCCACTCAGGATGGAGGTACATACCTTGTATCTCATGGAGCCCACTCTGGATGGAGGTACATACCTTGTATCTCATGGAGCCCACTCAGGATGGAGGTACATACCTTGTGTCTCATGGAGCACACTCTGGGTGGGGGAACATACCTTGTATCTCATGGAGCCCACTCAGGATGGAGGTACATACCTTGTGTCTCATGGAGCCCACTCAGGATGGAGGTACATACATTGTATCTCATGGAGCCCACTCAGGATGGAGGTACATACCTTGTGTCTCATGGAGCCCACTCTGGATGGAGGTACATACATTGTATCTCATGGATCCCACTCAGGATGGAGGTACATACCTTGTATCTCATGGAGCCCACTCTGGATGGAGGTACATACCTTGTATCTCATGGTGCCCACTCTTGATGGAGGTACATACCTTGTATCTCATGGAGCCCACTCTGGATGGAGGTACATACCTTGTATCTCATGGAGCCCATTCTAGATGGAGGTACATACCTTGTATCTCATGGAGTCCACTCTGGATGGAGGTACATACCTTGTATCTCATGGAGTCCACTCTGGATGGAGGTACATACCTTGTATCTCATGGAGCCCACTCTGGACGGAGGTACATACCTTGTATCTCATGGAGCACACTCTGGGTGGGGGAACATACCTTGTATCTCATGGAGCCCACTCTGGATGGAGGTACATACCTTGTATCTCACGGAGCCCACTCAGGATGGAGGTACATACCTTGTATCTCATGGAGCTCACTCTGGGTGGGGGAACATACCTTGTATCTCATGGAGCCCACTCAGGATGGAGGTACATACCTTGTATCTCATGGAGCCCACTCAGGATGGAGGTACATACCTTGTATCTCATGGAGCACACTCTGGGTGGGGGAACATACCTTGTATCTCATGGAGCCCACTCAGGATGGAGGTACATACATTGTATCTCATGGAGCCCACTCAGGATGGAGGTACATACCTTGTGTCTCATGGAGCCCACTCTGGATGGAGGTACATACCTTGTATCTCATGGATCCCACTCAGGATGGAGGTACATACCTTGTATCTCATGGAGCCCACTCTGGATGGAGGTACATACCTTGTATCTCATGGTGCCCACTCTGGATGGAGGTACATACCTTGTATCTCATGGAGCCCACTCTGGATGGAGGTACATACCTTGTATCTCATGGAGCCCATTCTAGATGGAGGTACATACCTTGTATCTCATGGAGTCCACTCTGGATGGAGGTACATACCTTGTATCTCATGGAGCCCACTCTGGATGGAGGTACATACCTGGTATCTCATGGAGCCCACTCAGGATGGAGGTACATACCTTGTATCTCATGGAGCCCACTCAGGATGGAGGTACATACCTTGTATCTCATGGAGCCCACTCAGGATGGAGGTACATACCTTGTATCTCATGGAGCCCACTCAGGATGGAGGTACATACCTTGTGTCTCATGGAGTCCACTCTGGATGGAGGTACATACCTTGTGTCTCATGGAACCCACTCTGGATGGTGGTACATACATTGTATCTCATGGAGCCCACTCAGGATGGAGGTACATACCTTGTGTCTCATGGAGCCCACTCTGGATGGAGGTACATACCTTGTATCTCATGGATCCCACTCAGGATGGAGGTACATACCTTGTATCTCATGGAGCCCACTCTGGATGGAGGTACATACCTTGTATCTCATGGAGCCCACTCAGGATGGAGGTACATACCTTGTATCTCATGGAGCTCACTCTGGGTGGGGGAACATACCTTGTATCTCATGGAGCCCACTCAGGATGGAGGTACATACCTTGTATCTCATGGAGCCCACTCAGGATGGAGGTACATACCTTGTATCTCATGGAGCACACTCTGGGTGGGGGAACATACCTTGTATCTCATGGAGCCCACTCAGGATGGAGGTACATACATTGTATCTCATGGAGCCCACTCAGGATGGAGGTACATACCTTGTGTCTCATGGAGCCCACTCTGGATGGAGGTACATACCTTGTATCTCATGGATCCCACTCAGGATGGAGGTACATACCTTGTATCTCATGGAGCCCACTCTGGATGGAGGTACATACCTTGTATCTCATGGTGCCCACTCTGGATGGAGGTACATACCTTGTATCTCATGGAGCCCACTCTGGATGGAGGTACATACCTTGTATCTCATGGAGCCCATTCTAGATGGAGGTACATACCTTGTATCTCATGGAGTCCACTCTGGATGGAGGTACATACCTTGTATCTCATGGAGTCCACTCTGGATGGAGGTACATACCTTGTATCTCATGGAGCCCACTCTGGACGGAAGTACATACCTTGTATCTCATGGAGCACACTCTGGATGGAGGTACATACCTTGTATCTCACGGAGCCCACTCAGGATGGAGGTACATACCTTGTATCTCATGGAGCTCACTCTGGGTGGGGGAACATACCTTGTATCTCATGGAGCCCACTCAGGATGGAGGTACATACCTTGTATCTCATGGAGCCCACTCAGGATGGAGGTACATACCTTGTATCTCATGGAGCCCACTCTGGGTGGGGGAACATACCTTGTATCTCATGGAGCCCACTCTGGATGGAGGTACATACCTTGTATCTCACGGAGCCCACTCAGGATGGAGGTACATACCTTGTATCTCATGGAGCTCACTCTGGGTGGGGGAACATACCTTGTGTCTCATGGAGCCCACTCAGGATGGAGGTACATACCTTGTATCTCATGGAGCACACTCTGGGTGGGGGAACATACCTTGTGTCTCATGGAGCCCACTCAGGATGGAGGTACATACCTTGTATCTCATGGAGCCCACTCAGGATGGAGGAACATACCTTGTATCTCATGGAGCCCACTCAGGATGGAGGTACATACCTTGTGTCTCATGGAGCACACTCTGGGTGGGGGAACATACCTTGTATCTCATGGAGCCCACTCAGGATGGAGGTACATACCTTGTGTCTCATGGAGCCCACTCAGGATGGAGGTACATACCTTGTATCTCACGGAGCCCACTCAGGATGGAGGTACATACCTTGTGTCTCACGGAGCCCACTCAGGATGGAGGTACATACCTTGTATCTCATGGAGCCCACTCAGGATGGAGGTACATACATTGTATCTCATGGAGCACACTCTGGGTGGGGGAACATACCTTGTATCTCATGGAGCCCTCTCAGGATGGAGGTACATACCTTGTATCTCATGGAGCCCACTCTGGATGGAGGTACATACTTTGTATCTCATGGAGCCCATTCTAGATGGAGGTACATACCTTGTATCTCATGGAGTCCACTCTGGATGGAGGTACATACCTTGTATCTCATGGAGTCCACTCTGGATGGAGGTACATACCTTGTATCTCATGGAGCCCACTCTGGACGGAAGTACATACCTTGTATCTCATGGAGCACACTCTGGATGGAGGTACATACCTTGTATCTCACGGAGCCCACTCAGGATGGAGGTACATACCTTGTATCTCATGGAGCTCACTCTGGGTGGGGGAACATACCTTGTATCTCATGGAGCCCACTCAGGATGGAGGTACATACCTTGTATCTCATGGAGCCCACTCAGGATGGAGGTACATACCTTGTATCTCATGGAGCCCACTCTGGGTGGGGGAACATACCTTGTATCTCATGGAGCCCACTCTGGATGGAGGTACATACCTTGTATCTCACGGAGCCCACTCAGGATGGAGGTACATACCTTGTATCTCATGGAGCTCACTCTGGGTGGGGGAACATACCTTGTGTCTCATGGAGCCCACTCAGGATGGAGGTACATACCTTGTATCTCATGGAGCACACTCTGGGTGGGGGAACATACCTTGTGTCTCATGGAGCCCACTCAGGATGGAGGTACATACCTTGTATCTCATGGAGCCCACTCAGGATGGAGGAACATACCTTGTATCTCATGGAGCCCACTCAGGATGGAGGTACATACCTTGTGTCTCATGGAGCACACTCTGGGTGGGGGAACATACCTTGTATCTCATGGAGCCCACTCAGGATGGAGGTACATACCTTGTGTCTCATGGAGCCCACTCAGGATGGAGGTACATACCTTGTATCTCACGGAGCCCACTCAGGATGGAGGTACATACCTTGTGTCTCACGGAGCCCACTCAGGATGGAGGTACATACCTTGTATCTCATGGAGCCCACTCAGGATGGAGGTACATACATTGTATCTCATGGAGCACACTCTGGGTGGGGGAACATACCTTGTATCTCATGGAGCCCTCTCAGGATGGAGGTACATACCTTGTATCTCATGGAGCCCACTCAGGATGGAGGTACATACCTTGTATCTCATGGAGCCCACTCTGGATGGAGGTACATACATTGTATCTCATGGAGCCCACTCTGGTGGGGATACATACTTTGTATCTCATGGAGCCCACTCTGGATGGAGGTATCTCATGGAGCCCACTCAGGATGGAGGTACATACCTTGTATCTCATGGAGCCCACTCTGGATTGAGGTACATACATTGTATCTCATGGAGCCCACTCTGGTGGGGATACATACTTTGTATCTCATGGAGCCCACTCTGGATGGAGGTATCTCATGGAGCCCACTCTGGATGGAGGTACATACCTTGTATCTCATGGATCCCACTCAGGATGGAGGTACATACCTTGTGTCTCATGGAGCCCACTCTGGATGGAGGTACATACCTTGTATCTCATGGAGCCCACTCAGGATGGAGGTACATACCTTGTATCTCATGGAGCCCACACTGGATGGAGGTACATACCTTGTATCTCATGGAGCCCACGACCATGTTCTGCACTTTCTCGATGCCGTACAGCGGGATGTACGATTGGTGGAAGGAATAGGGGACGGCCTCAAATTCGGCCTTGAAGTCCCGGACCGCCCCAATGTCATGGACAGCTTCCATGGTGGCTGTTCCCGCCGGGAGGATCGTCGTCTGTAGGACAGAACAATAACGTCATAATGGCAGGAAATATACAGGTTTTTACCTCATCTCGGAGCTGAAAGGCGCAATTCCGTGCGTATAAATACGTCCTTTATAACAGGAGATTTACATGTTTGCGCATTCATAACCTTGCTTTTAAAGGGCGCACTTGTACGTGTAGACGTACATTCCTTTAGGTAGGAGATTCACATATACATTCGTTACACCTACTAGTTAAAGGGCGCACTTGTACGTGTAGACGGACATCCCTTAGGGCAGGAGATTCACATATACATTCGTTACACCTACGCGTTAAAGGGCGCACTTGTACGTGGAGACGGACATCCCTTAGGGCAGGAGATTCACATATACATTCGTTACACCTACGAGTTAAAGGGCGCAATTCCTGTGCAGAGTTACGTCCCTTATAGCAGAAAATGTACATGTTTGCACATTCACAATATCTAGGAGTTAAACGGTGCAATTTCCTGTGCAGATTTACGTCCCTTATAGCAGGAGATTTACATGGTTGCACATTCATAATATTTAGGAGTTAAAGGGCGCAATTTCCTGTGCAGATTTACGTCTCTTATAGCAGGAGATTTACATGTTTGCACATCCATAATATATAGGAGTTAAAGGGTGCAAATTCCTGTGCAGATTAACGTCTCCTATAGCAGGAGATTTACATGTTTGCGTTTATAATACCGAGGAGTTAAAGAGCGTATTTGTTGATGCAGAACCTCTGATAATGATTTCGAATCCCGGTTCGTCCTATCAATGTTTCAAGGTTTGTCAGCACCCTACTCGCAGGTTTCACAAGGCCACTTTTCCTTATTGCTGACTGAAGAGCAAGCGCAACGAATGCTATATTTGCTATGTTTGTGGTTTGTTATTCACAAATAATAGTGTATTTACAGTTCTGATCTGACACTCAAAAGTGCGGCTAGAATCGGTGAGGTGTATCCTCTGAGCGATGCGATTTTCAATGAAGTGCCCTAAACTAATCCGTTGTCTGTTCGTGAGCAGCGTTGCACAGCGAGGCTTGTAACGTTTCGCTGCACAACGCTCCCCTGGAGTATACTGAACAAAATAGGGAAATTACCGAGTAATAATATGTACACGCACATCAATAGTTACGTCGATTTACCCCAACCCTGAAGAGATTCTAGGTTAGAATTAGTTTCTCAGCAACCCATGTTTGCCTTAAGATGCAACGTAATAGATGGACTGGACACGCTGGTTGCCCGTGTCATCTTACCCTCTTAATATACGGTTCAGACACGACAATTAACAGGCCGCCGATATATAGCTGGAATATTTAGGGCGTGAAATAACAAACAACTATTTACCTTGCCGTCCTTTATGTAGCCGCTCGCCTTCCAGTACTTCCACAGAGCCTTTCTCGGGTTCCAGCTGATCAACACAGATACATCATTCTATTCATTAAAAGTTGTTAAAGTATTTCGTTATAGATACTCGGGTATTGAAGTTGAGAATGTTGAAATGTTCTTAAAATGTTGTTAAAAAAATACAAAATGTCAACGCCAGAGAACAACCTGTTTCGACAATCCATGACGCTCAAACAGAAAAAAATCAGCGGGAAAAAACACAAGAATGGACCCCCAGGATCAAGGATGTCAACAGGTGCTCCGCGAAACAGACTCCATGGGGCTCACAAAGCAAATACAGCGGAAGCTGAAGTAATAGTAGTGGTAGTAGGTGTAGGAGCAGAAGTAGTTATAGGAGCAGCAGTTGCAGCAGCAGCAGTAGAAGTAGTGGTAGCAGCAGTAGAAGTGGTAGTAGTAGTAGTAGTAGTAGTAGTAGAAGTAGTGGTAGCAGCAGAAGAAGTGGTAGTAGTAGTAGTAGTAGTAATAGTAGAAGTAGTGGTAGCAGCAGTAGAAGTGGTAGTAGTAGTAGTAGTAGTAGTAGTAGTAGCAGCAGTACTAGAAGAAGTAGTTGTAGAATGGTAGTAGTAGTAGTAGTAGTAGTAGTAGTAGTAGTAGTAGTAGCAGCAGCAGTACTAGAAGAAGTAGTTGTTGTTGTAAAATAGTAGTAGTAGTAGTAGTAGTAGTAGTAGTAGTAGTAGTAGTAGTAGTAGTAGTAGTAGTAGTAGTTGGTCAATAGTCCTATTTGAGCCGCGCGCTGATTGAGCCGCGTGTTAGTCTGGACTAGTCCTAATTGAGCAGTGCGCTGATTGAGCAGTGTGTTAGTCTGGTCTAGTCCTATTTGAGCAGTGCACTGATTGAGGAATGTGTTGGTCTGGTCTAGTCCTAATTGAGCAGTGCGCTGACGGAGCAATGAGTTAGTCTGGTCTAGTCCCAATTGAGCAGTGCGCTGACGGAGCAATGTGTTAGTCTGGTCTAGTCCCAATTGAGCAGTGCGCTGACGGAGCAATGTGTTAGTCTGGTCTAGTCCCAATTGAGCAGTGCGCTGACGGAGCAATGTGTTAGTCTGGTCTAGTCCCAATTGAGCAGTGCGCTGACGGAGCAATGTGTTAGTCTGGTCTAGTCCCAATTGAGCAGTGCGCTGACGGAGCAATGTGTTAGTCTGGTCTAGTCCCAATTGAGCAGTGCGCTGACGGAGCAATGTGTTAGTCTGGTCTAGTCCCAATTGAGCAGTGCGCTGACGGAGCAATGTGTTAGTCTGATCTAGTCCCAATTGAGCAGTGCGCTGACGGAGCAATGTGTTAGTCTGGTCTAGTCCCAATTGAGCAGTGCGCTGACGGAGCAATGTGTTAGTCTGATCTAGTCCCAATTGAGCAGTGCGCTGACGGAGCAATGAGTTAGTCTGGTCTAGTCCTAATTGAGCAGTGCGCTGACTGAGGAATGAGTTAGTCTGGTCTAGTCCTAATTGAGCAGTGCGCTGACTGAGGAATGAGTTAGTCTGGTCTAGTCCTAATTGAGCAGTGCGCTGACGGAGCAATGTGTTAGTCTGATCTAGTCCCAATTGAGCAGTGCGCTGACGGAGCAATGTGTTAGTCTGATCTAGTCCCAATTGAGCAGTGCGCTGACGGAGCAATGTGTTAGTCTGATCTAGTCCCAATTGAGCAGTGCGCTGACGGAGCAATGTGTTAGTCTGGTCTAGTCCCAATTGAGCAGTGCGCTGACGGAGCAATGTGTTAGTCTGATCTAGTCCCAATTGAGCAGTGCGCTGACGGAGCAATTTGTTAGTCTGGTCTAGTCCTAATTGAGCAGTGCGCTGACGGAGCAATGTGTTAGTCTGATCTAGTCCCAATTGAGCAGTGCGCTGACGGAGCAATGTGTTAGTCTGATCTAGTCCCAATTGAGCAGTGCGCTGACGGAGCAATGTGTTAGTCTGATCTAGTCCCAATTGAGCAGTGCGCTGACGGAGCAATGTGTTAGTCTGGTCTAGTCCCAATTGAGCAGTGCGCTGACGGAGCAATGTGTTAGTCTGGTCTAGTCCCAATTGAGCAGTGCGCTGACGGAGCAATGTGTTAGTCTGGTCTAGTCCCAATTGAGCAGTGCGCTGACGGAGCAATGTGTTAGTCTGGTCTAGTCCCAATTGAGCAGTGCGCTGACGGAGCAATGTGTTAGTCTGGTCTAGTCCCAATTGAGCAGTGCGCTGACGGAGCAATGTGTTAGTCTGGTCTAGTCCCAATTGAGCAGTGCGCTGACGGAGCAATGTGTTAGTCTGATCTAGTCCCAATTGAGCAGTGCGCTGACGGAGCAATGTGTTAGTCTGGTCTAGTCCCAATTGAGCAGTGCGCTGACGGAGCAATGTGTTAGTCTGATCTAGTCCCAATTGAGCAGTGCGCTGACGGAGCAATGAGTTAGTCTGGTCTAGTCCTAATTGAGCAGTGCGCTGACTGAGGAATGAGTTAGTCTGGTCTAGTCCTAATTGAGCAGTGCGCTGACTGAGGAATGAGTTAGTCTGGTCTAGTCCTAATTGAGCAGTGCGCTGACGGAGCAATGTGTTAGTCTGATCTAGTCCCAATTGAGCAGTGCGCTGACGGAGCAATGTGTTAGTCTGATCTAGTCCCAATTGAGCAGTGCGCTGACGGAGCAATGTGTTAGTCTGATCTAGTCCCAATTGAGCAGTGCGCTGACGGAGCAATGTGTTAGTCTGGTCTAGTCCCAATTGAGCAGTGCGCTGACGGAGCAATGTGTTAGTCTGATCTAGTCCCAATTGAGCAGTGCGCTGACGGAGCAATGTGTTAGTCTGGTCTAGTCCTAATTGAGCAGTGCGCTGACGGAGCAATGTGTTAGTCTGATCTAGTCCCAATTGAGCAGTGCGCTGACGGAGCAATGTGTTAGTCTGATCTAGTCCCAATTGAGCAGTGCGCTGACGGAGCAATGTGTTAGTCTGATCTAGTCCCAATTGAGCAGTGCGCTGACGGAGCAATGTGTTAGTCTGATCTAGTCCCAATTGAGCAGTGCGCTGACGGAGCAATGTGTTAGTCTGATCTAGTCCCAATTGAGCAGTGCGCTGACGGAGCAATGTGTTAGTCTGGTCTAGTCCCAACTGAGCAGTGCGTCTGTCAACGTACTTGAACTTATACTTGAGAGGATTGTTGGCGGATTCTGGAGTCGGAATGGCGCTTGTGTACAGCTCATACGAAGTGACCTGAAAGAATCAGAATATGGCAGTTATTTTGTATGCAAAGCTGCGTTGGGAAAACTTGAAGCAGCTGTATACAAACAACACGACGCAGCCTGTACACACGTGACTGAACCAGTGAGTCCAGCATTCATCAACCACGTGACCGAGTCTGACCAACCGAGCCATTCACTCGCCTCTTACGTCAATCCAGCAATTCCCCTGGGCCTACCCTGAATCCCCATGGGTTGATGGTGAGCAATCATCAACCATGTGACCGAGCCTGACCAACCGAGCCATTCACTCGCCTCTTACGTCAATCCAGCAATTCCCCTGTGCCTACCCTGAATCCCAACGGGTTGATGGCCAGCAATTATCAACATGTGACCGAGCCTGACCAACCGAGCCATTCACTCGCCTCTTACGTCAATCCAGCAATTCCCCTGGGCCTACCCTGAATCCCAACGGGTTGATGGCCAGCAATAATCAACCATGTGACCGAGCCTGACCAACCGAGCCATTCACTCGCCTCTTACGTCAATCCAGCAATTCCCCTGGGCCTACCCTGAATCCCCATGGGTTGATGGTGAGCAATCATCAACCATGTGACCGAGCCTGACCAACCGAGCCATTCACTCGCCTCTTACGTCAATCCAGCAATTCCCCTGGGCCTACCCTGAATCCCAACGGGTTGATGGCCAGCAATTATCAACATGTAACCGAGCCTGACCAACCGAGCCATTCACTCGCCTCTTACGTCAATCCAGCAATTCCCCTGGGCCTACCCTGAATCCCCATGGGTTGATGGTGAGCAATCATCAACCATGTGACCGAGCCTGACCAACCGAGCCATTCACTCGCCTCTTACGTCAATCCAGCAATTCCCCTGGGCCTACCCTGAATCCCAACGGGTTGATGGCCAGCAATTATCAACATGTGACCGAGCCTGACCAACCGAGCGATTCACTCGCCTCTTACGTCAATCCAGCAATTCCCCTGGGCCTACCCTGAATCCCAACGGGTTGATGGTGAGCAATCATCAACCATGTGACCGAGCCTGACCAACCGAGCCATTCACTCGCCTCTTACGTCAATCCAGCAATTCCCCTGGGCCTACCCTGAATCCCAACGGGTTGATGGCCAGCAATTATCAACATGTGACCGAGCCTGACCAACCGAGCCATTCACTCGCCTCTTACGTCAATCCAGCAATTCCCCTGGGCCTACCCTGAATCCCCATGGGTTGATGGCCAGCAATAATCAACCATGTGACCGAGCCTGACCAACCGAGCCATTCACTCGCCTCTTACGTCAATCCAGCAATTCCCCTGGGCCTACCCTGAATCCCAACGGGTTGATGGTCACACATGGCAGAAGAAGCTAAACAAGTACATCCTGGTTCGACAGGAAATGGATCTTATTAAACTAACTCCTTGTAAAAAACTTCAGTGTATTATTCCTAAGTAGCAAAAGAACCAGAAGGAGTGGATACTATTTATTACGCCGGTTTTAGCAATATTCTGAGGCGGGAAACTCCAGACATGGGCTTGTCACATTGTACCTAATATCGTGTTACGTAACCTTTAGTACTATTACGGCTTTTTCGAGGCGGGAGATAGCAGACATGGGCTTCACACGTTGTTGTTTTTTGTTGCTGTTGTTGTTGTTTAACTCCGCACTGTGCTCCAGCTATATGACGGCGGTCTGTAAATAATAGAGTCTGGACCAGACAATCCGGTGACTGACATCATGAGCATCGATCCACGAAAATGGGATACGATGACATGCATCAACCAAGTCAGCGAGACTGACCACCCGATCCCGTTAGTCGCCTCACACGACAAGCATAGTCACCTTTTACGGCAAGCATGGGTTGCTGAAGACCTATTCTACCCCGGATCTTCACGGGTAGCTTCACACGTACCCATTTGGGGAATCGAACCCGGTTTTTCGGAGTGACGAGCGAAAGCTTCAGCCACTAGATTACCACAGCGTCCAGCAGCAGAGTACCTCAACTTACCTCCCCTCCTCTGCTCTTCATTTCGTCTATTGTCTTCTTGGCAATCATGTGGTCCGCACCGGGGCGGAAACCAACGTCAACCAGGAAGGTCAGACCAGCGTCGACAACTCTGAAACACGTGACGGATACGTGAAATGGATACTGTGTGGTTCCGTTAACATTCTGCCAGATGGCATCAAATAATCACGAAAGTAAAGGCATGAGAACTGTCATAGTACAATCGTTGGGAAACAAATAGCTGAGACAGGGAGTCGACAACGACACTAGTCCATCTACCCACCGTCAGGTAAGGTAAGGCGTTTTGAGATTTTACGTGACCTCTCCGACATAAAAGCGTAATTCGCACACGGAATCACAGGAACGATCTCAAGATCTTTTTCATCAGATTGATCAAGAGTCATGTTTGTTTGTTGTTTAATGCCGCACTCAACAATATTCCAGCTACATGATGGCGGTCTGTAAATAATCGAGTCTGGACCACACAATCCAGTGATTGACATTATGAGCATCGGTCCACGCAACTGGGATCAATGACATGCATCAACAAAGTCAGCGAGCCCGACCACCCGATCCACTTAGTCGCCTCTTACGACAAGCATAGTCGCCTTTTACAGCAAGCATGGGTTGCTAAAGACCTATTCTACCCCGGATCTTCACGGGTCGAACCAGAGTCATGAACCTGTTTATAGTAACAACTTCATCTTCCACATTTGACTGTTGTATTCAAACGGAAGAATAACTGCTTCATGTAACGTTCATACGGGCGCATCCAAGCGTTAATATCCCGTGCGTACGTGGAACATGTTTAATTATGTTTTCATATAAAATAAATCACTTTTAAAAAATATTTTTAAAATAGCCGTGCGTCTTATGAAGTTGTGTATATGTTATTGAAAAGTATGTTTATTTATTATGCAATGTTACATAACAAAACATATAACACTTCAGTAAAAGGGGACACGGTGGCCCAGTTGTCTATGAAGCCGCGATTCGCTGTGCAGAGTTGCATCCCTTGGACACGCCAGAAACCTATCCTTGTGAGTTCAAATCCCGGTTCGCCCCGATTATGTTTCTAGGTTTGTCAGCACCATACCCGTGCACGTGGGTTTCGCCGAAGCCGTAAACATCTAAGACCTGCATCACTTCGGGCTTTCCTCCAACATGAAGCTGACACGCCGCGATATAACTGGAATAGTGTTAAAACGGTGTTAAACCCAACCCACTCACACGCACTCAAGTGAAGTAATTTATATATAAGTAATATCACAAAACAGTTTACTGTTGATGCAGCCGCGTCTGTTCGGGAACGGTGTAGTTCACCGACACGAGACTCTTCTTCATGGCGAGGCAAGCTAGGGATAGACTCTCAATCACAGCGTCCGGCACACAACTGAAACATACAGCGCTTGATAGCAAATATAAACAGATGAACTGTGGTAAAATGGGGTGTAATGTGGCGTTAATGACTTTTAAATTGCCATAACCACGTGTATGCGTGTGCGTGGATGTTTGTACTGGTCCGAACTTATGACGGTTGTACAGTGTCCACTGAGGCTCCGTGCCGCAGAGTAACGCTGACACAGGTGAGGTCAGGTGAAATATGGTTAAACGTCGCATACAAGATTATTGCACTTATATAGCGACGTACATGCACGTGTGTGTGTGTGTGTGTGTGTGTGTGTGTGTGTGTGTGTGTGTGTGTGTGTGTGTCTGCTTGTACTAGACCGGACTGATGCCGATTAATAGTGCTAGCCCGCTGAGATACCATGCCGCAGTTTAACATGAATACCGAATACCCCACTCAGACACAGTATACTGACTCCGAGCCGACCAGTCCTTGCGCCAGAAAGGGTAACAACAAGTACCATCTTTTAACGTCTTTTGGTATGACGCGGCCGGGGATCGAACCCCGGACCTTCCTCTCTCCGGGCGGACGCTCTACCACAAGACCATGGAGGCGGTCACATTGACACAGAGAGCATCTTGCCGGAGAGGGGAAGGTAGGGGGCTCAATTACTCGCGACATACCCAAAGACCTTAAATATGGTACTTGTTATTACCCTGCCTGGCTCTCGGAGTCGGTATACTTTGGCTGAATGGGGTAATCGTGTTACACTACGGGATGGAACCTCAGTGGGCTAGCACTGATAAACCGACTTACGTCCAGACTAGTACAAGCAGTCACACACGCTTACATGCACCTTTGTTTGTTTGTATGTTTGTTTGTTTGTTGTTTAACGCCGCACTCAGCAATATTCCAGCTATATGACGTCGGTTTGTATATAATAGAGTCTGGACCAGACATTCAAGTGATTTACATCATGAACATCGTTCCACGCAATTGGGATACGATAACATGCATCAACCAAGTCAGCGAGCCTGACCACCTGATCTCGATCCGACAAGCATAGTCGCTATATAAATTACAATAAATTTAAATTAATTCAATTTCACCAACACCATCATAACATTACAGTCAAACTTGAGTTTTAGACAAGACCACGATTTCCAAATCATATAATGTCAAGCTCCTGTCCACCTTATAACAGATGGTTTGGCCCCCTGGGAAATGTGCTAGATACAACGTTTGGGGGTATGCATGTCCATGTCGTTGTTTTTAAGATCGACAACGTGAGGTACCTGACAACGACGTCATGTTCAGATATAAGCCTTTTCAGGCTGTCAGTTTCTTTCATCACGTCCAAGCGCACCAGCTTCGCACCCGGACACAGCTCACCAACTTGCTTTAAGCCGGGCCCTCCTTTGCTCACTGTAAAGGGGAAATGACGATAAAGAACCAACCATGCAATATCATTTTGTCGAATTCGTTAAATGAGAGGAGGGGTGGTCTAGTGGTCAAAACGTTTGCTCGTCACGCCGAAAGACAGTGTTCGATTCCCCACCTGGGTACAATTTCTGGTGGGGGCGGTCGGGTAGCCTAGTGGTTAAAGCGTTCGCTCGTCACGCCGAAGATCCGGGTTCGATTCCCGACATTGGTACAATGTGTGAAGCCCATTTCTGGTGTTCCTCGCCGTGATATTGCTGGAATATTGCTAAAAGCGGCGTTAAACCATACTCACCACCATTTCTGGCGTCCTCGGCCGTGATATTACCAGAATATTGATAAAGCGGCGTAAAACCTAATTCAACATCAACACTCAATGCAGTTAGTACTCATGATTACTAGCTCCGTTTATTTTTAACAGGTGTTGTTCACTGACAACCAGAGAATAAAAGAGGATGAACAATTTTAATCTTTGATAGAAATAGTGTGATATCGCTGCAGCTGACCTGGATGTGTTTAAAATGTCAACAAAGACAACCACTGGAGAAACTTACTGTCAGCATTATACTCAAATATTTACTGCATAAATAAAAAACAAAAGAGAAACAAGCTGTACATAGTAATGATTAGCCAAAATGCATTTTCAGAGAATGTTAGGGTATGTCACGGATTTTACCTGTTAAATAACGTATACACGCATTACAAATTTCTAAATTGCAAATCAGTGGCATGATATTGTGATTTGAAACTTCTGACCAATCAGATGACGAGGTTTGCGGAAACATGTACCTAATTTTGTCAAAAACATGCGTGATTTTAAACATTTCCTCCCACCCCCTGCCTCCACCCCAACCAGGATATTAAACAACTGTCCTCCATATAAAGTGTTTCAGCAAAATAGCAATAGTCCAGTGTGACACTCACCAGCGGTGACCTGAACGCCTTTCTCGTTAGAAAAGTCTTCATACATTGGGCCCGTCACCCTCCCAGTCCCGAATACCAAAATCTTTTTCAGGGTTGCCATTTTGTTTTCTCCTAATCTGAAAGAAACAAAAACATCACCAGACCTTCAAAACACCATGAGACCTTCAGCAATCCATTCACTGCTCATGCAGATATACAGATTCTGGCGGCACCAGGCCTTCATGTAAAAGAGAACTCATACTGTTTCATATTTCAACAAATAAAATTCCTGGCAGTTCTTTAGTTACAGCCAATCACATAGTGTGTATTTCACACACACAAACATGTCACACAAACACATGGGTTCGGACAAATGCAAAACCACTTCACACCAACACATGAGGTCGGTCAAGTATATAAACACGCCACAACACATTGAGTCGGTCAAGTATATAAACACGCCACACCAACACATGGGTTCGGTCAAGTATATAAACACGCCACACCAACACATGGGTTCGGTCAAGTATATAAACACACCACACCAACACAATGAGTCGGTCAAGTATATAAACACGCCACAACACATTGAGTCGGTCAAGCATATAAACACGCCACACCAACACATTGGGTTCGGTCAAGTATATAAACACACCACACCAACACAATGAGTCGGTCAAGTGTATAAACACGCCACACCAACACACTGAGTCGGTCAAGTATAAAAACACGCCATACCAACACATGGGTTCGGTCAAGTATATAAACACGCCACACCAACACATGGGTTCGGTCAAGTATATAAACACGCCACACCAACACATGGGTTCGGTCAAGTATATAAACACGCCACACCAACACATTGAGTCGGTCAAGTATATAAACACGCCACACCAACACATTGAGTCGGTCAAGTAAAATAAACACGCCACACCAATACATTGAGTCGGTCAATATATAAACACGCCACACCAACACATGGGGTCAGTCAAGTATATAAACACGCCACACCAACACATTGAGTCGGTCAAGTAAAATAAACACGCCACACCAACACATGAGGTCGGTCAAGTATATAAACACGCCACAACACATTGAGTCGGTCAAGCATATAAACATGCCACACCAACACATGGGTTCGGTCAAGTATATAAACACGCCACACCAACACATGGGTTCGGTCAAGTATATAAACACGCCACACCAACACATGGGTTCGGTCAAGTATATAAACACGCCGCACCAACACATGGGTTCGGTCAAGTATATAAACACGCCACACCAACACATGGGGTTCGGTCAAGTATATTAACACACCACACCAACACAATGAGTCGGTCAATTATATAAACACGCCACAACACATGAGGTCGGTCAAGTATATAAACACGCCACACCAACACATGGGTTCGGTCAAGTATATAAACACGCCTCACCAACACATTGAGTCGGTCAAGTATATAAACACGCCACACCAACACAATGAGGTCGGTCAAGTATAAAAACACGCCACACCAACACATGGGTTCGGTCAAGTATATAAACACGCCACACCAACACATTGAGTCGGTCAAGTATATAAACACGCCACACCAACACATTGAGTCGGTCAAGTATATAAACACGCCACAACACATGGGGTCGGTCAAGTATACAAACACTTCACACCAACCCATGGAGTCGGTCACGTACACAAACACTTCACACCAACACATGGGGTCGGTCAAGTACACAAACACTTCACACCAACACATGGGGTCGGTCACGTACACAAACACTTCACACCAACACATGGGGTCGGTCAAGTACACAAACACGCCACACCAACACATGGGGTCGGTGAAGTACACAAACACTTCACACCATCACATGGGGTCGGTCAAGTACACAAACACTTCACACCATCACATGGAGTCGGTCACGTACACAAACACTTCACACCAACACATGGGGTCGGTCAAGTACACAAACACGCCACACCAACACATGGGGTCGGTGAAGTACACAAACACTTCACACCATCACATGGGGTCGGTCAAGTACACAAACACTTCACACCATCACATGGAGTCGGTCACGTACACAAACACGCCACACCAACACATGGGGTCGGTCAAGTACACAAACACTTCACACCAACACATGGGGTCGGTCAAGTACACAAACACGCCACACCAACACATGGGGTCGGTCAAGTACACAAACACGCCACACCAACACATGGGGTCGGTCAAGTACACAAACACGCCACACCAACACATGGGGTCGGTCAAGTACACAAACACGCCACACCAACACATGGGGTCGGTCAAGTACACAAACACGCCACACCAACACATGGGGTCGGTGAAGTACACAAACACTTCACACCATCACATGGGGTCGGTCAAGTACACAAACACTTCACACCAACACATGGGGCCGGTCACGTACACAAACACTTCACACCATCACATGGGGTCGGTCAAGTACACAAACACTTCACACCAACACATGGGGTCGGTCAAGTACACAAACACTTCACACCAACACATGGGGTCAGTCAAGTACACAAACACTACACACCAACACATGGGGTCAGTCAAGTACACAAACACTTCACACCAACACATGAGGTCGGCCACGTACACAAACACGCCACACCAACACATGGGGTCGGTCACGTACACAAACACGCCACACAAACACATGAGGTCGGTCACGTACACAAACATGTCACACGAACACATGGGGTCGGTCAAGTACACAAACACTCCACACCAACACATGGGGTCGGTCACGTACACAAACACGCCACACCAACACATGGAGTCGGTCACGTACACAAACACTTCACACAAACAAACGGGGTCAGTCACGTACACAAACACTTCACACCATTACATGGGGTCGATCACGTACACAAACACATGAGGTCGGTCACGTACACAAACACGCACCACCAACACACGGGGTCGGTCAAGTACACAAACATGCCACACCAACACATGGGGTCAGTCAAGTACAGAAACACTTCACACCAACACATTGCGTCGGTCAAATACACAAACACGCTACACCAACACATGAGGCCGGTCACGTACACAAACACTTTACACCAACACATGGGGCCGGTCAAGTACACAAACACTTCACACCAACACATGGGGCCGGTCACGTACACAAACACTTCACACCAACACATGGGGCCGGTCACGTACACAAACACGCCACACCAACACATGGGGCCGGTCAAGTACACAAACACTTTACACCAACACATGGGGTCGGTCAAGTACACAAACACTTTACACCAACACATGGGGCCGGTCACGTACACAAACACTTCACACCAACACATGGGGCCGGTCACGTACACAAACACGCCACACCAACACATTGGGTCAGTCAAGTACACAGACACTTCACACCAACACATGGGGCCGGTCAAGTACACAGACACGCCACACCAACACATGGGGCCGGTCACGTACACAAACACTTCACACCAACACATGGGGCCGGTCAAGTACACAGACACGCCACACCAACACATGGGGTCGGTCAAGTACACAGACACGCCACAGCACATGGGGTCGGTCTCGTACACAAACATGTCACACCAACACATGGGGTCGGTCACGTGCACAAACAAGCAGGGCTACACATGGGGTCGGTCACGTGCACAAACAAGCAGGGCTACACATGGGACTAGCAGGACTAGCATGTATGTATGTATGGATGGATGGATGGATGGATGGATTGATGGATGATGATGGATGGATGGATGGATGGATGGATTGATAGATGATGATGGATGGATGGATAGATGAATGGTTGTGTGTGCGTATGCGTGTGCGTGCGCACGTGCGTTTATATGTATGTAACACTGTTTTATGTACTTTTGTATATATGCATATTTTTATGTGTTAAGCGTTTTAGTTAAGGATTGACTGTGTATTTTTTTCGGTTCATTGAGGTATGAATCGAAAAACCGATATGCAAACTGTATGAATCCGCGTACACAGTCAATGCTTATAATTAAATTCGACAACGGAAACATATAATAGTTTAACCAAAAACAGTTGTTTATATAAAAGCAGACGAAAATGACGAGATTGATAAACATTCCCGGTGTAGGAATACATACTGTGGCGTGACATGAATCAGGTGATTGTTTAATTTAAGCACATAACTTGACACGCCCACACAGTGAGTAGCCAATCAACCGAGAGTAGGATTAAAACAAAGTCCCCAGGACCTGTCAAACAAGGAAAGAGGCGAAAAGAACTGCAACAGTCAGACTGTAACGAGCCGGAACAAATATGTCCGGGAAAAGGCGGCTGTTTCAAATGACAAAGTCAGTTACCGCCGGATTCGAACATTAGTTCCCTGAGAACGGGCAGACCCAGTTGGAAAAATGCTAGTTAGAAGTGAAACCCGAAGAAATGAAAGTTGTGGCACAGAGGCGAGCGGGACAAAAACAGGCGAGCGAGTCTGCACATTTGCTGTTTCATTCCTTCTCGGCCTTCGGTCTCAAGGGTTGTATGGACAAGGAATATGCATGAATTTCGCTAAATGTCCTGTGCATCGCGATACACGTGAGCAGAAAGGGAATCCCTCGCATGTAATATTAGGATTCCCCGACATTCCGTAGCAATAAAAGTAGTCTGCTTCGGTGGGCGTGGCTTACGTTTTTACATTCATAACATGTGACCAATTCAGCTAATCAGAATGCAGGAATTTCAATGAACACAAGGAAAATTTAATTATGTGTATATAATTCCTATGCCCTGTACACTTATTCTGCACTATCATTATTCACGTATCACAATGTAATGATATGTATGTTGGAGAAGGCCTCGTAAGTGTGTCACTTGTGCCTAATCCATTTGATTTTTCACAAGAAAATATGTAAATACAAAAACAAAATAGGATGTCTCCATAATAAAGAATTTGTTCATCCGTATATTTTATCCTTACTTAGTTCTCCAACTTCTAAGGGGCGGTGGGGTAGCCTAGTGGTTAAAGCGTTCGCTCGTCACGCCGAATACCCGGGTTCGATTCCCGACATGGGTACAACGTGTGAAGCCCATTTCTGGTGTCCCCCGCCGTGATATTGCGGAAATATTGCTGAAAGCGGCGTAAATCCATACTC